TGCGGTGGTTCCGGAAGGTCCGGGGAGACCTCCCGGGTCCATAGCGGCGTTCTCAGTGCTCATCTCCCCGGGGACCGCTACGTCCAACGGCGGTAACAGGTCCCACTCCTGTGGATTCGGGAGCACCATCTCAGCTAGGAAATCGAGGTCCCGGGGCCCATCAAAGGCCTCCTGTGGCGGAGACTCCTTCTCATCTTCCCCCAGAGAGTCTACGAGCTCCACGGGTTTGTCGATTAGATCTGGCTCGGAGGGCAGATCGCGATGAGGATTTGGGTGACGCATGTTCGCAAGGAGAGCTGGACTCCGAGAGGTTGAAGAATCTTCGATGAATGACTCAGACGCTCGGAGTTTGCTTTATATGGGTGACTCCGGGGCGAGTTGAGGAACCCTCTCTCGGAAGAAGGCCCGTATTGCATTCCGAAGTCCTGCATAGCTTTTCGTCCTTCCTCTTAGCCCCCGGTGATTTTCATTCTTCAATTGATAGGCTTCACCCCGGAACTCCCGCTCCTTCGGGGTCCACGCGGCTGTAGACGGGGATTCCGAAATCACGGAAGACATCAGGGGTGCCAATCCTCGACGACCTGTTGCTCGCCGTTCCGGGACTTTCGGACGGCATGCAGCATTAGTTACTCCGGAATGTGGAAGCCATGCGGAATTTTGGACATAGAAATCACAGAGCATAACAATTCAATTACGCAGAGAGGGAAACGTGATCATTGTCGTTGGAGTATCTATGGAGACCACAGATGGAGATTCAGGCGCCCGGAACGGAGGATTCCAGTCAGAGGGCGTGGAAAGGAGAGGATTCCAGTGTGGGCATGCGGCAGCATACATGATCAGATCAGAGAGAGGCACACGACACGAGATCCACCTTCAGAGCGGGACAATTGATGCGTGATTCATAGTGGGGATAATGGAGCGCGGTTGGAAGGTCCCCCAGACTCAGGATGTGGGTGGACTGAGAATGGACGCCTCTGAAGTTGCGAAAATGGATGTAGAGGTTGCATGATTGGATATGGGAAGTATGAGAGGCCGCAGTGGATTGAGTATTTGTCGCGTGAGCGATGCGGGCGATGCCAATCTAAGTGAATTCGCTCCGC